TTCCCCTCTCTCCTCCTCCTCCTCTTCCCCTCTCGTCTCCCCTCCTTCCCTTTGTTCCTCATGACCAGACAGATGAAGGCCATGCCGTCTAGTTCCCCCTCAGAGCCACCGCCTGTTGCTCCCCCCCCGACACACACACACACAGGTCAGAGAATTAAGGAAATACTTAAATAATAGTTTATCCTGGGAAGGCTTCAGGAGGTCAGGTCAGGTCAGGTGCGAAGGTTTATGTATGTATATTTGTAAAGAATTTTGACTGAATGTTTATATGTATACATGTATGAATCAATCTATTTATCCCCAGTGAGAGTTTATATATGTATATCTGTATGATTTTTCGTACACACGCACACACACACACACACACACACACACACACAGAGGTTACGTTCACATTTTTTTCACACTAATGGATCGAACGAGAGAGAGAGAGAGAGAGAGAGAGAGAGAGAGAGAGAGAGAGAGAGAGAGAGAGAGAGAGATGATAAATGTTGTGGAAGACGGTCGCCATGGGGACCAGCCACCACCACCACCACCACCACCACCACTCCACCAGTCCCCACCACCACCACCAGTCCCACCACCACCACCACCACCACCACCACCAGTCCCACCACCCCACCACCACCACCACCAGTCCCACCACCACCACCACCACCACACCACCACTCACCAGTCTCACACCACCACCACCACCACCACCAGTCTCCTCACACCACCACCACCACCAGTCTCCCCACCACCACTCACCACCACCACCACTAACAGTCTCCCTCACCACCACCACCACCACCACCACCACTACCAGTCTCCTCACCACCACTCCACCACCACAACTACCAGTCTCCTCACCACCACTCACCACCACCACTACCAGTCTCCCTCACCACCACTCACCACCACAACTACCAGCCTCTTCTCTTTACCTGTGTATGTGTGTGTGTGTGTGTGTGTGTCAAAATAGTTCACTGGCCTCGGATCGTAAAATTTGATAAGCTTATTGAGTAACACTGAAATTCCCAAGTGTTTGTTGAAATATGTATGAGGTACAGTCTCTCTCTCTCTCTCTCTCTCTCACCGTGCACCAATCAACAGTCCCAACATGAAAGCAATGCACGCTATTGGTTGACGGGATAATGAACGGAAACCAGTAGTGATATGGACGGACGGACAGACAGACAGACGGAAACAGACAGACAGACAAACTGAGATTATATGATTGCTTCTACAGCCGTTGGTTAAATGATGAGGGGTATAATAAAGGTGACAAAGTTGCGTAAGTGTGGGCGTGGTCATGGGTGTGGGCGTGGTCATGGGTGGGGGCGTGGCTATGAATGGGGAGGGGGGGCGTGGCCATAGCTGTTAAGGGAAAACACATTGTACGGGTCACTGAGCAGCCAAGCCCCTAACCTAACCTCTAATGTCAATCACTAAGAATTTTTTTGGCTTGTAACTAGCTGTAAATTTAGACCTATGTGATTTAAGCTACAAATTTAGACCTAGGTGATTTAAGCGTGAGGGCGTGTGGGCGTGGTCATATTCACCGCTACCTCAATGATAGTCTTACGTCATATACCCCTATACAGCCAATCAGATGGTCCCTCCTCATCTCCCGTGTTACGTCATACTCCTGTCCACCCACTTACGAATCCCCCCTCCCTCCTTCACTCCACTGACGTCATACCCCTGTCTAGCCAATAAGAATCTTCCATCCTTAACTCCCACTAAACCTCATAACCCTTTCTGACCAAACACAGTCTCCTTCATAATGCCATACTTCATTCCAGCCAATCACATGAGGTTACGTTCATTCCAGCCAATCACATGAGGTTACGTCCCCAACTCCGGTCTGACGTCATACCTCAACCCAGCCATTCACACCCCAGCATTTATTTTCCTTTGTGCACGGTTGGGCGGATTTTTTTTATATATCGACTTTCTCACTTAACACAACAAATTACCCCCTGTTAAGTAGAAAAGTAATTATAAGTAGGAACCTGTCTACTGTATATGACTTACAGATGTCAAGACCCCCAATGGACGAATCACATTACACTATACCCGCATGTAAGTGGGTTTTGACCTTTAGCTCCAGTTATAAGCATAAATAAGAAAACATTATTTCTGAGAACAAAATAGTATAGTATTTAATTTTTCAATGATAGTTTATTATTTAGAGACAAAACTTTAACGAAAAATACTTAAAGACTCTTATTAAAACAACAATAACTACAACAATAACAATAACAACACTAACTACAACAACTACAACAACAAAATCTAAAGCCACTGTTCTGAAATTCCCTCTGTATTATTCCATTATTGCTATTTTTAATAATATAAAAGCTGATTAGCCATTATGTAAAAATTTCACCATTCCAAATGTTACAGCAATTACCAATGATAATTAGCTTACAACAGCAAATTGACCTGGACCCGTTGACAGCCTAATTATCCCTGCTCTCTTTCTTTTATTATTGTGATTTTTTTTTCATTTTGTTATCTGTTCAATACTTTTTTCTTTGTGCGATATTTTTTTTACTTCTGTGTACGATATTTTTTACTTGTGTGTACGATATTTTTTACTTCGGTGTACGATATTTTTTACTTCTGTGTACGATATTTTTTACTTCTGTGTACGATATTTTTACTTCGGTGTACGATATTTTTTACTTCTGTGTACGATATTTTTACTTCGGTGTACGATATATTCTTCTGATAAGTGACTGAAAATTACTAAATATAAGCAAATATTTCTCAGTAAATATTTGTTTAAAGAAATTCCTTCTATTTTGTTAATAATTATTAGCACATATTATGAATTAGATTACTCTTTCAAGATAGTCACAGGTATCCAGTTATCGAGAAACAGTCAGGGATAAAATTATTGAAGACGAGTGTAATAATCAGACTGGTAACAGGACGCTCAATAGCTTGTCACCAGAGTCGACACCACCTTCATTGAGTAATTAAGAGAATAATGGAAAGTGGCGCGCTCTATCTCTCTCTCTCTCTCTCTCTCAATATTAACAGGTAAGCTTAAATTCTCAGTAAAGCTAAAATTCACAAGAGCTAAAACACTCACATGCAGGGAAGCTAAAATTTCCCTAAAACAATTTTGAACTGTAATTTTTTTCCCCCGAGATAGAGAGACAATCCGTAAGAGACCCAGGCAGTTAAAATACCATCGGACTGATCCAACCAAATTCCTTTATGCAAATATGTGAGTGTGAGACGGCGAGGCTAAAAATATTCTTTCCGTGAGATTACGACCCCCCATGAGATTCCAACCCGTGTTATTCTTACCACTGTGAGATTCCAACCCCCGTGTGATTATCTCAGTGTAATCTTTATAACCACTGTTAATATACATTGTTTGTATTCATGCACTGTCTATGTATACATGCTGAACCAATGTAAATTTATATCTATCTAAGGAACGACATACTGTGGGCGCCATCTTTATACTGAGACGAGAGGGTGTATGTACTGTATATGGATTTCAAGACAGGGTAAAGTCTCTGCTTAATATCGACCCCATTTTTACTCCCGCAAGTTGCTGACGTGTGTGAGCCAATTAGATGCGTTCTCATACCCCCAACTACGGTATAAAATTTAAAGAAAGAACCTTTGAGAATCCAACTTTGTGTCGGTTTAAAAAAAAAAATCATTTAGTGGAGTTCTCATACGTCTCTTATTACCCAACTGAAGGAGAACTTAACTGGAGACAAGAGACCACCCACCTCTCTCCATCTCAAACTACAAAGACCGTAAGTTAAAATCTTCACTTAATTGGACACAAAACGACTCATATAATACACAACTTTACTAAACGAAGCTGAATTATCATTATACAGGGAGGAGAGATAGTCAAGAAACCCCAATTACGAGGAAAATATCACATGACCCTTTGAGAGTGTGTGAGGCTCCCGACAGTGTTGACAAGTTAAGCCTCCTACACCCTGGAGTTAAGATGCCAAACCTTCCTCCTACCACACAAATATATATTTTTCTCTTCATATTTTTTTCTCTCTAGCTTCTTGTTCTTGTTCTTCTTCCCCATCTTCCCTTATTTTCTTTATTTTTCGCCTCTTAATGAATTTTGTATTACATTTTATTTTTTTCCAATCTACGTTATCAATCTTCTAAAATTACTGTAATATCAACCTATGCTTCCCCTATGTACACTACAACGTACATTGATCTACAGTACAGCAATCCTATGTATTATTTTGTACTCTTATTATCCTGTAATATCCTGTATATGTAGCTGTAATGTTTCTATCTGACCAAAGTTCCTCAGCAGTTTTTTGTATAATCTATAAAATTTCTGTACCTGTGTTACGTTGTTGCAAAGCGGTGGTAATGGTATTGTTTTAAGGTGGTGGCGGTGTAACAAGGTGTTGGTGGTGATGATGATGGTGCAAGATGATGATGGAGAAGGTGGTGTTGTTGTTGTTGATGATGGTGCAAGATGGTGGTGATAATGGTGCAAGGTAGTGGTGGTGGTGGTGAGGACTAGACCCCAAGGTGTACTGACTGACCCAATGGGGCTTCCAGGTTTACTTCCCTCACCACGCCTTCACCCTCAACCCCCCCCCCTCTCTCTCTCACCCTTACCAAAACCCCTCACTCTCTCCCTAACCCTCATCAAGCTTAGCGCCGTCAGAACTAAGCTCGTGACAACCCAGCTTATATTTCTTAAAGTTTGAAGTCCTTGTTCAGTTTGGTCAGATTAAATTATTTCAGGTTGTGTGGGTTAAGTTAGACGAGGTAAGGCCAGGTAAGGCCAGGTTAGGTAAGGTAAGGTTAGGTAAGGTAAGGTTAGGTTAGGTTAGGTTAGGTTAGGTTAGGTTAGGTTAGGTTAGGCTAGGCCAGGTTAGGTTAGGTTAGGCCAGGTTAGGCCAGGTTACGATACTATAGCTTTTCCCCATTACGGAATTTTTAATGGAAAAAAATAATGTGGCCAACACCACCAGGAGACTGAGAGCAACACTCACCCGAATCCTTGTCGGTGAGGGTAAAGACAAAGGAGGTGGCCTCCCTGAGGGACGTCTTCCTAGGCCCTACAGACACACATCCTTCAGGCTGGCAGAAGTATATCACGTCGAGGGGCAGGGGGAAGTCCTGCACCAGCAACAAATACAAACATTCATTACAGACCAATCACTGAGGTATTGACGCCTCGCTCTCTTATTTCACAGCCATTTTCCTGCAGTATCCCGATACACTGATCATTAATTCTATAAAACAGGAGTTGGAACAAGTTGGTGAGTATTTTTGGAAACTGGACCTAAATGAGTTATAAAGGCAATGTGAATTTGTTTTTTATGTAACTATTTCGATGTCAAGATAAACCAGTGGAAGCTATAGGCTATGGTACCTCACCTTGTGGTCGTCTGGGGGGTACCGCCGCAGTAGTTCTGGGGGCTGGACAGGGGCGGCCCGGCCGGGGGCGCGCGCACCCACCACCACCATGTAGTCCAGCAGCCGCGGACACAACTGCCGCCGCTGCGCCTCCGTCGCCACTGTCAGGAGAAACACCAACTCTGTTTCAGAACTTTGGAAGATGACGTGTGCTGTTAATCATGTCAATTACTTCACCCACTAATATGAAGTTGAACCACCCTGGAGGAGTGTTCCACCACCTCCTAACACACCCAACAATTACTTAAGGCTGAACGTTCAAGGACCAGTACACGGGGAAGAAACCCCAGCCACTGTTACTGATAATACAAGGTCGTCCCTCTAGTGTTACAGCTGGTAGACATGTAAACACTTAAGTTTCCCCTCTCATATATATCTGAATCTATTATAGTTTAAATCAATATATTCTAAATGTCTTCACGTTGGTCAAACTTACCTTAACGTAACCTAACCTCACCTACCTAACAGATTGTGTGGTGATACATTATTCTACACTGGTAAAGGTAAACAGGTGTGGTGTTACCTACGACCCACGCATAAGAGGTAGGTTAATCTTGGCTGCCAACACCCTGCATTCTCCCTACAGGTGTCTTGAACACCTGGCTGTGAGCTGGACACACACACACACACACACACACCCATTCAGGCCCAACAGCATAATTATCTGCTCCGAGTGTAATTATCCCCTGCAGTTTTCGTGAAGAGGTGATAGAGTATTGTGTGTGTGTGTGTGTTCGAGAGAGACCAGATGACACATACCAACAACAAGGTCTCAGACGAGTTAAATAACCAGCACATACTGTCCCCACTATACCCAAAATAAAGACCTCTTGATCTAGACTGTGTGGCTATGACGAAGACTCAGCCAACACTCACTCCACAAGACCTTCAACTAAGCTAAAACATCCTGACATGCCTGAGCTACCTGACCCTGAGTTCATACCTGTAATGTTGTCTCTGGCTCAACAGGTGCTGGCCAGTACAGGTGTTCTAGCACTAATTACCCGACCTGTCCTGGGAGCTTGCTGTGATATATCTGTGTGACAATATTGGTTGAGTGATCCAGTGTTATTTATCAGATGAATTATGTTCGAAGCGGCGGGTACAGTCATTTGATTGAGGTTAGGTTTGGTCGAGTTAGGTTTCAGTGGCACACTCACTTGTATCATGCGGGGGAAGGTGAGACAAGCGTGGTGGACTGAGTCAGTGGGCCGCTACTGTGGGCCGGCTGGTACCGTGGGCCGCACCAGAGGGCCGCTACTGACAACGATGACCCCACCACAGGAGGGGTTGGAGACCCGCGTCGCGCTCTGCTGTTCCTGCCGCTGCTATTTATTGTTCGCTGCTAGTCGTTAGGGGGGCTCAGATGTGGACACACAGCTCCGGTACCCATCATTCACTGCTGCACAAAACACACAAAACGTTATCTTACTACAAGCACATATAATACCACATAAACACATAATAATAATAATAATAATAATAATAATAATAAGTTAATATTTTTCAGTCAATTTGTACAGGACAGCTGACAAAGCCATATGAGAATCGTTTCCAGTCGAGTCCTTTATGCCAGCATCATCTAAGCAGCGAGTGTTCTTAGGGAGAAGAGGTCACCCTTCCAAGTACTAACCAAAGGGAGAACTAAATAGACTGATATTTAACTTTACAGATGGGGATGTGAAGGAATAATGGTTGGGAAAAAAGGTCGAGGGAAATAATGTAGAAAAAATTCAATTCGTTATGAAAAAGAAAGAAAAAATATATTTATGGTGGAGACTGACAGTATAATCCAGTTTATCTGAGTGATGTTAAACGAAAGCGTCACGCCATCTACCATTTACACACGTCAACAGCTAGGTGTGTGTGTGTGTGTGGGGCGGTTACTGTTAAGGCGCGTTTACACTACGGATATGGCGGCCGATAAATCAGTCATAAAGCCACTGACTTTTCCCCCGATAGACAATACTGCGTTCATTCACGAGCTTTGCAACCAGACCTTAGCGCTGACTTTACTATGGAAATGATGGGCTGGTGGAACAAGGTGCGCTGGTCGTCATTCATTTTCTGTAGTTACCAGAAATATTCAAAATTATTTATCTACTATGATACCCGAAGCCGTGGAGGTAAAAAGTAGCGAAGGAAACACTGATAACTTAGATACTGTATCTTAAAGCGAGAGAAAAAGTTAATAACGATTAGCGGCGTTTGCTCTTAATTTGGCGCCACCATACTGTACATATTCACCCGCTGTTCTGGCCGGCAACACGCAACACCTACAGATAAACTGATAGAAGTGAACAGCCGTATACCGCACATGCGCGAGGCGAAACACTGTTACGTTTTTCATCCTATGATTCCTTTCAGACTCGTCAAAAACACACAATGTAGGTGTATACATTCACTTTATATACTGACAAGTCAGATATATCTACGATTTATCGCCAAACATTAAACAGATATGTGGATGACTGGTCAAGCTGGAGTGTCACACCTTCAGAACATTCTCGTTCAAGTAGGACTTGTGGGAAACCCCAGTTTCCTGCCTCACCTTATCATACAACCATTTTTTTTATGAACAAAATATTCCATCTCTCGTAAATACCTATATGTTAGGTAGGCGACGGTGAACGTTGCTTCTTATTAAATTAATTTCCAAAACTAATATATCTTTTTCCCTTATCGCTTCTTAATGTTAAAGCGAATAGTTTTCATGTTTAAATAACTTCATTTCTTATATATTTCGTCAAATTTTCAAAATTAACTTTATTTACTTGATTTATCAATTTATAGCTAAACATTATTACTATACTTTGGTTAAGACGACTACTACTAATAATAATTATAATTGTTATGTTATTAGTATTGATGTAAAATGACAGAGAAGCGCCACATGTTCCCACAGCAGGTGTTGTGTTGGTCGTACTGAACGTTTCTCTCGGGAATACTGTATATCAAAAAGCCTTCCTGTTATCTCCCTCCCGCCCGGCTCTTACAACACACGTCACCCTCACCGACACACACACACCCAGGTCGTGTTGGGTGTGTTGGCAAGTTAAACACACACACCAGTAACACATATACAACTTATATCAGTAGCAAGGACATATATAGAGAGAGAGAGAGAGATACAAAAGGTCTCTCAGTAAACAATGCCTCGGTGACAGGTGGTGTTTACGGTCCAGGACTCTAGGTGAAGTAAACAAAGCTATTACTGTTGGAGTGGTGAGTGAGTGAGTGTACTGTACCAAGATAACTATAAGATATTTTTTTCTCTAGGAACCATAGGAAAATTATCACCCAATTTATTTTACATCAAGGAAAAAAACATGACAGAGCTACGAACAGATTTCTTTCATTAAATACAAAAATAAATAATACAACCTGACTTGAAACTTTGAGTATAAGGCAGTGAACAGGAAGTCTTCAGGATAAGTCTGAATATTTAACGAAAAATAAATAGTACTAATAATGTAATGTAAAGTTAACATCTTAGTTATTACCAACACTCACATAAGTTCTTTAATTCTTTTTAATATGTGTTTAATCACCACCAAGAACGCCCTTCCTCATTCCCAAAGGTGTATTTTCATTTCGGTCGCCTTAATTTCCAAGATACGCTTCGTGTTTGAACGCCGCCAATTACCCGATATTTTTAAGTTTAATGGAGCCCTCAGGACTTTAATTTGCATTGAGTGGCCCAGGACGCCAACTGCTGAAGTCACTGTCCATAATATAAGTGCGGTGAGGTGTTTTTAAAGTTAACCCTCTGAGTGCAATGATTTAACCCCTATTCCCCTTGAGTGCGATGATATTGTACTCGTGGGGTTATCGTCGTACTCAAGAAGTTAAGCCATGGTACTTAAGAAGTTAAGCCATCGTATTCAAGAGATTAGGCCATTGTACTCAAGAGGTTAAGCCATCGTACTCAAGTTAGTTACTGGTAGGTTGCGTTTGGTTATGTTATGTTAGAATAGCGGAAGCACTAGCAGACAGCACATTACATCACTCTCCCCCACGCACCTCGACTTACCACACACACACACGTTGCTTGCTTGGCTGTAGTGCCGTGTATAAACTCAAGACTTAGGTAGGGAAGGTACACCACCAACTAACACATGCACGTCCTGCTTTAAGCTAAGTTTAACAGAGGATATAAGTAGCCTCAGTCAAACTCCACAGATGTTCATACGCTGTTTTGTTTGTCATTTTCTGTAATTATTATTATTATTGTAATTATTGCTATTAATGTAGTTTATTTATTATCATTGTTGTTATTACTATTATCCCCACTTATTATTATTATTATTATTATTTGTGTTTACTTAACTGGATATACGAGAAGTCATCGGTGTATGAAATCACATCATGTTCCTATTATATCCGACTTCACTAAGAAAACTAACTAAACCAAACCTAACCCAACCTAACCTAACCAAAGCGACCCCTGGATGGTAAGGTAATGATGTATGGTTGGTTGGGTAGTGTTGTCTGCTGTTATCTTGAAAGACGTTGAAAGAATCAATTACCTATTTTTAGAAACACGACGTCAGGGGCTCCAACCAATCATTACTTGGCTGCCGAGCGCTCTCTAGTCGTGTGTTTCTTTGTGTTGTACCCCCCCCCTCCCCCCTCCCACAGTTTGACAGTTCCTTATCAGCCAATTAAAGTGAAATAATGATTGTCAGGAAAGCATATACCGTATTCCTGAGTGCTTGTAGAGACCCTTAGGGAAGTTACGCTTGAAGCCTAGCACAGAGGACTTACTGGACTGAAGTTACGTGTACATAATGAAATAAACACCGACACTCACACGAAACGACTTGTAAATACTGTGTAGTCTGTTTTATCGGGTTAATTATTATTTTCCTTTGTTATCCTGGAGCGTGACACTTAATCTGACAAACACAACTTTTATAGATACGCGATATTTCCCCTAACGGATGCTTCCAGTTTCTGTCTCTCAAAGGTTAGGTTAGTCTTAGTCAAATAAACTTTGTATTTATAAGGACCGTCAAATAACTAATGCAACAGGTGAAAAATTTACATAAATCGTTCCTTGAGATTATTAAACCTAAATATAATTATCTGTAGTCTATATGAGTTTTAGTTGTTTTTCTTCCTAAGCTTGCACATCATAATCTGTACAGTGTATTCTTATATTACCAGTCTACACCAAAGACTGAGTGGAGTATCTTTGGTCTACAACACCCTCAAGTAATGTGTATTCTTCATACGTTTGTCTTATTATACAATTTGCATCAGGACCAGGATTCTAAAAAGGTTCCTACGTTAAATTTCTCACGTAACGGGAGATTTAAAGACGCATTAAGTGGCTGAGTTTACCATGTTAATGTTATGTTTGACAGTATAAAATGTTGATTTGATAATAAATTACTGCGCTTTGTGATATTAATGTTGTAAGAGTTACCGTGAAATAAGAAATAACTTTAAAAGCCTAGTCTATATTTGTAAGTAAGTACACACACAAGTAATCAATATTGAAAAACCAAGAAAGTTTAACCTCTTTGATGTTCCATTTTAAAATAAATTATGAAAATACTGTATCATCAAACTAATAGACAAATTCACGTACAAAAAGTTGACCTTGATCACCATACAGTATATAGCCCAAACACAAGATAGTATCAACAGACATTAGTACGTACAATATCCTCCATATACACAATATATAATATATTGCAACGTGAGCTCTAATTACCAAGCTATACTATTATACAACGTGAAGTGAGCCCGCTACGTTGACAAGCAACCAATACGGGTATTGAATACAGTGCAGCATCATTACTACAACGAATACAGTTGTTTCTTTTGTTTAATTTATATTTACAATATGCAAACTAGAAATATGTTAATTTTGCAGTGAAACACTACTACGCCAACATTTAAAGACGCCTGATTTCTTTCGAAAATTACAATTAATGTACAGAACTCTATACACGGGAGCAATCGTGTCAGTAAACATCTTCCAGAAGAGCTAACATCAGCACACACCAAGCCTGATTTAACCCTTTGTAACTTAATTTTCGTCATACTGTTATCGGAGCGACTAGCACTAGCATCTATGGAGCTATGGCAATAAAAACAGTCATCCCAATTTCATGAAATCCCGTTCCATTTAAGACTCATTAAACCGATTATTCCTTCAATGAATGACTTCACTCAATTTGTGGTGTATACATTGCCTCGCCTCCATACCATGCGCTTCCGGTATTTATCTAAGAAGTTAACCTCCACACTGCTGATAACAATCTGTCACATCTTACAGCCTTACTGATAACACCTGATGTATGAATTGTCTGTATATCATCCGAAAACGTTTATTAAAATACTGACAGATAGATATGAAAGAATACAGACACGCGTAAGGCATTTTTGTTGGTATTGCAGCTTGTCTCCTTAATTAATAAAATTCAACTTTATCCGACTCATTTCATAACGGTATGGGGGATAATCATCTAGTAATGTAGTAGTTCCGGGAATTACCGCCTGTGACAAGGAAAGAGTGTTAGATGAGGGTGCCGGGGTGTTGGGGTTCATTAAGGCTTGCTAGTCATGCTCGTCTCGGAGTGAGTGAGTCGAGGCAGCAGAAGTAGGTCACTATGTCGCTGACAGCAATGATCTCCCCGCATTTAAAATACACGTCCATAATACACTACCACAACACATTATGCCATTAACTACTCCAAAATTAAAAGGGAAAAATATATGAAACTATAGACATGAAGATAGTACTGAAGTTTAGGTGTTCACTTGCCACATCAGCAGCGGTGAAGCAGTAACAACAATGATGAAATCTGTGATGCACCACACAACACTACCATCACCACAAAACCGAGTCCACCACCGACCTCTGGAACGGCGAAATTGTACCTGGCTCTGCTGAAACTGATCTCTCGGCCAGTTCGACGTGTCTGCCCCTCGTACTACACAAGAAATCAATGAGAGGCCCGTTGTTGCCGAGTGGAATAACACTGGAGGAATTATCCGAACCTTTGGTCGAAATACATAGGTACGACTCCGTTTGGACTGGTCTTGTGCAATTACTAATTCACTAAAACAAACATTTATACAATTAAAACGTAGGAAATACTACACAGTGCCCACTAGAGGAAGATATATAATATATATATAAAATGATCACTTGCCACTTGACATTTATCGACGCAATACAGTAACCACGGCAACGCCAGTGAACGCCTGCGCACAAACTGTGACACAGGGATTCGGAGCGCCGCACCCCCTGTCTGCTATCGATTAAACTCGTCCGGATTCTATCATTCATGGTTCTCTGTGAACAAAATAATATATAACTACAGTATTTTCCACCATTTCACAATTTATAAACAATATAACAAAATAAAATTATAAAATATGCGATTCATTATTCAATTACATTATAATTAACTGTTTGTGTGTGGTTGTCGTCCTGTACAAAAAAAATGTTACGTATTCGGTTGTTCGGTGTTATCAGCAGACGTGTTAGTGACGTCACTATCTGTCAGCTGAGCGGCAAGGAACGGAGGCCACGGCGACCGTCATCTCAACCCGTGAACAAGGCGATACACAATAATACATTTATACTAGATATGGCAATCTCGATATAGTAAAAACGCTCATAACTAATTCGTGGCAACTGACTTCAAAAGCACCATTGGTCTAAGGTCATTTTTCGAGGGCTTTATTCACAAAACATTAATATATAGCAGCTTTCGAACAAGTCTTTTGAATATGTGAGTCAATACAGAGGTTATTTATAAATCTCTGACATTATTTAAAACCACAAGTGTCAAACGTTCACAGTACTGAGGCACCGTTAGATAAGAATAGACAAGTGGGAGCTTTTTCAAGATTAAAGGTTAAACCAGGAAATGTCATGACAATACTTCCTCTAAGTGACGAGTGAATATTTTTTAAATTAGGTCAAAGGTCAAGGTCACGGAGTACTTAATGGTCGCAACAACTAAAACATGAGAACCGATCCTGGTGTAACTAAGCAAATTCCATATCCTCAAGAGTTTCATACACTATTCATCTTTTTATCAGACCAAAAATTACGTTCGACAATGACATCGATATTCGTCCTTACTTAGATAAGTTTACTTAGCACCAGCAATGAGACAAAGTTAATGCCGAGAACATTTTTTTAATGATTCTTTTTCTTAGTTGTACATATTCACAATCTGATATAAGCGAACATAAGTAATTAATTTTAAAAATTTTGATGCCATTCTGGGTGGGGTTTTTTTTTTGTACTTTATCTTCAGTCAACAAATTAGCTGCGTTCTTACATCTTCAATTATGAGATAAATTCAACGTACGAGCCTTTGAGAATATGAAACGGTGAAGATTGACCATAGAAATGTGGGAAGGAAATCTCTTTAATGACGAAATTGTCTTCATAGAACAATTTCGCACAACTAGAAAAGCACTGTATGTCTTGATGCAACTTGAGACGTGGTGTGGGTGTTAGTTTAGGAACCACGGTATTAATTTGATGGTCGCCGAATTTATCTCGTACATTAATAACAAGGATTAACTCACGGGGTGTTCAGGTAGACAAACTCTTCCTTTACTTTGTCTACCATCTTCACTATTGATACTCCCTGGGGTATTAAAGAGAGAAAGAAAAAATAATTATAAATCCTACGGAAATAATGGGAATAAAATGTCAAATTAGGTGTTAAATCTTTTTATTTCTCATAAATATTACAGTAGATTAACAGCTGCCATAATCCTGATGCAAATTTTTGGTCGATTCGGGTTTCTTTTTTCTTATTCTAAATCACCTTATACATTATCTTAATAACTATATGAAGGCAATGTTGAGTAACAAAAATCCTTACGATAATTTTCTTTACACAGGTAAAAAAAAGAAATGTTAAGTCTTTCCTGCTTACAGTCATAATCTCAATGTAGTATTTTACAGTAACTTTTGCGAATCTGATGAATTTCTATGCTTTCAATTTAGAGAAAATTTTAACTTGTGTATACAGTATATTTGAGAACCTGGGCCTTGTAGGGGAAACTTAACATTGTATACATAAGTTCCTCATGACTGGTAAGTAAAGACAAATTTTTAAACATATATTGAGATTCAAGACTTAGTAAATTGAATCCAGTACTTACAAGGTGAAACTGGGATCTGTTCTCCTCATCTCCACTACACTTTGGGGTCACATCTGAGGTATAAGTTTGTCATAATATACTTTTTGGATCCAGTGTGTTTGTGTGCGTGTAAAGATTATACAGTAATGTGTCACTGGGTTTAAAAATCAAGTGTACAGTACAGTAATGCCAACTTTAAGCCTTTGAACTTAATCATGCACAAGCTACCTGTGTTTTAAGAGGTTATTTCCTAAACAATTAAGTTATTTGCATATGATAAAGTTCCAAAAACAGTAACTTTCCGACTTTGAATATGCTTAAGAATGGAATCCTTTACACCACAACTTATTTGTACAGTACTGGCAAACAATAATCCTTTCTCACTGTCGATTTCTTTACATAGTATATTATATAAAACTGTATACAGTACATACTAACTTAAATTCATAGAAAAAATATATCAAGAAGTCACATAGATAAGTATATATTTGTTAAACCGTACAATAATAGGTACACTTGTGTGCTCTGACAAGATTAAACTAAAAACAATTCCATAATACACTCTTAACTGAACATAACCAAGTATAATCTTACTAACCTACTCCAGTTAGTCCTTTCCAAACTAGTCTAAACTTAATGTAGTAACACATCAATGTACACTTTTATACATAGTTTAGTACCTATCATCTTGAGACCATTAAGTACCAGTTCTCAATTCAATGTTGTACACATCGTGGAGATGACAAACAGTCACTCGTACACTAGATTCTCATCCATGAGATATGGAAAAATATATCTATGACTAGTACCTTGGTGTAACTAATGAACACATTATTCTACATGGCTTATTCACATATACTGTAGTTATTGTATAACACTGCCATAAGGGCACAGGAATCACTCATGATTTGGAAGCATCTCTCTCATGGTAATACTGGATGTATTAGCATTTACAGGTACTGTACTGTACAGGGGGTCCCTGGGTTACTAAGGGGTTCCGTTCCTGAGGACGTTCTTAAGTCGGAACGGATTTGTATGCAAGTCGGCACACATGCTACACGCATACCGTACTTACAGAACAATGTTTAAAATCCCACTATATCATAGCCCAAGTCCTTAAATCCTGTATACATCTAAAATCACTTAAGACACAAGAAGAAATAGAATGACAAAATACAATAAATTAAAGTAAAACAAGTCAAGTAAATAAAACCGTAAATTTCAAGTTTAACCCTCTGTTCGTATCGGCAGGCGTTCATAAGTCGGGGACCCCCTGTATATGGCTGCTTTTAAATAATCAACTTAATTTACTTTCATAAAGCTTTGTACTGTATATCATATACAGTACAGGTTTGTTAAAATAATTATGATCATCTGTAACATAAGAATGGCTTTGAATGAAGTAAAGTTTTTATCACACTTTTACTTAAATAACCACTGAGATGAAGGTGAGCAAAAAAAAAAAGATTGTAGTCCCAACAAAAGCTTTATTGGTTCAGTGTTTTCCCAGTACAATCTTGTCCTCTTGATGCTGCCGCCTCTTGACATCTCTCGGAATTTTTTTTTTTTTTACGGGGATTAGCCCACCCGGGCACAGGTCACTGACCCACACCAGGGCCTGGGGGGCAAAGATATTATAATTATAATAATAATAATAATAATAATAATAATAATAATTAAAATTAATAAAAATTTTAATAAACAAAATAATAACAAATACCATAAATAGTAAAAAAAAATGATTAAATAAATGAGGAGTGAGAAACGACATACATTATGTATATGGTGTTGTCAACAGCAAAAATCTCGGCATATGTGGTCACCGGTATCACCTACCATACCTGTGTCACCTACCATATCTGTGTCACCTACCATACACCTGTGTCACCTACAATGATGCCCTATTCTTCGCCTGCAGTGCAGGTAAGTGTTACCCTTTTGTACATTTAGTAATTACCTGTACACACACACACATATGGGTCGATAATTTTTTTATTGTTGAATTTTTGTATGAAGGGGGAAAGTGCCTCGATAAGTCGGAATTTGGGATAACTCGGCAAGGCCAGAGCCCAAATGTGCCGACTTATCGAGGGTTTACTGTATCAATATATAAGAGTTTTAAACTCAACACAGCTGTTAATAATTTAATTTCTAAGGTTACTGCTTAAACCTACCTGTTCTTTAATCTTCTTAACTCTAGCCTCTTCTGCACGTTTCTTAGCAAGAAGTTGCTGCTTTCTGTGCAACTGTTCTCTTAGTCGCTCCTCTCTGTTCTTTCTATCTCTGTCTTGTTATTCCTTTGCTTCTATAGCCTTACGCTCTCTTTCTTCACGAGCTTCCTGTACCCGCCTCATCCTTTCCTCGTTGCGTCTGTTATAAAATTATAATAGAATAAAATTAATGACAATTCATACAGGATATCATTAAACCACCCAACACCATGTTGTCCCATCATTCATGCAACAATCCATTTAAGACTTGGATAAAACTTGAATTATGAATCCTAAGAACAGCTCTGACTTAAATATTTCTATAAATTTATCTCCTGACCAACCTTTTCAGCTCCTCTGCTTTCAATTTTAATACTGTAATTCTTCTTTCTTTTTTTATCGTCTCATCATCTCAATCCCTCTTCTTTTGCAGTCCTGTTTGTCGCTTCTCCTCACGTGATGGCTTTGCTGGTTGTATTTTGATGAATGATGTTATTCCAGTAATTATGTTCATTGGGTACTTCGCTTCATTTAGGTCACCAAATTTCTGTAATAAAAAATGATTAACTACAAAAGGTGATCAAGAAGGAGGTAGTGGTGGTGGTGATGAGGTGATGATGGTG